CGCCGCCGCCGCCGCGCCCGGACGCGCCGCCCGCGCCGCCCCACGCTTTAGCTCCGTTTTCCCCCAGGCGCCCCTCCGCACCCTCGCGACGCACATGGTCCCCAGCGGAGCCCTCGCGTCTGCCGGCTCGGCGGCTCCCGCAGCCCTGGCGCCCTTTGTTGCGAAGTGGATGGGGACGGAACGGGCTCGGGCGCCCGGAGTCGGGAGCTGCCTGGGTCGAGTGGCTTCGCTCCCCTCGCGAAGAAAGCGCCCCGGAGGGGTCTGAACCTCCAGGGAACGCCCCCATTTTATAGGGACGGGTCACTGGGGGCGCGGCGACCCCGCCGAGGTGGGTGTTAGGCTGGGGGGCGCCCCGACAAAAATGTTATTAACTTAAGTTGGAGGGACACTTGTGTGAAATTGGATGGCTCGTAAGATGGCGGTTCCTAGTTGTTTCCCCCAAGGTCTGCATTTGTGTGGAAAAATGGTAAAGTTTTCAAGGTAGTGTTCGTTGGGAGTCTTGGAAGAGCGCTCACACCGACTTGGGACCTGCTTCCTGGGCAATGGGCGTTTCAGATAGGGAGGTTTTTCGCCCCCCCGAATGGGGATGGTGACTGGACGTTACTCTTGCTGTAGGTTTCCTCTGTCCACGTCTCTACCTCGCCCCCCCCCCCCAGCAGAGAGTACAACTTTTTTCCCCACCTCTAGCACGGGATGCATTCAGAGTCCTGACTTTGCGTCCGCTGCGTTTTATAGGTTTTGCTAAATGTCAGCAAAGATCAGGTGGTAAAGGGATGCTCTGGCAAAGGAGCACTAGGAAGTTGATTGCTCATGTTTACGCAGTCATTTGGGCTTGACAGCGATAGAGCATAATCTTTCCCCCCAGAGACTTACAGTTAATAATTGGGAGTAAACAAGTAGAGAGACTGAGCATTCCCAATTGCAATAAAAGGATTTAGTGGGCTTAGTGGTCACGGTTCAATATTTGAAAGAGAATCTTGTATGAACCCCTTTCCTTAAAGTAAGCAAATTCCCGGGCATATATATAGAAATGCAAGTGGAAGTTGGTGGTATATAGAATGTTAGAATAGTTCGACCTGTATTTTATAGGACTCTTAATCCCGTGTTTTGGAAACACACCCTAGGGAACGTTGTAAATTGACAGTTTGTACGAAGGTGTGAGGCTCTATGCTCTAGTAATTTTGGATTTTAAGTAGACAGATCAGGTATTTCTGAGGTTGATTTTTATAAGGAAAATTTTTAATTTTGATGCTTGAATTCACTTTCTTACTTTTCCCTCAAAGTGCAATCAGAAGTTTGAAGTAACCTACCTGTGCAAATTATGTCCCTTCTATCTTTAAAACCATATAAAGACACATGTAGTAAGTTTTCGTGAAAAGATTAAACATAACTATTTGATAAACCTATTAATACTTCACCATTAACTTCTTGGGCATTTGGTAAGTGTCTACATAGGTAAAATTCTTCCCGACTCCAGTTAGCCCTAGTTTTACCCCTATTTCTATTGAGGTGTGATCTCCAACTGGGATTGTGGAGTTCATTTGCATTTCTTAGACTGCTGTAGTCAAGCTGATTGTTAAGAACTTGCTTCTGTTTTCCTTCATTTTGACATTACTGATGTTAGGCCTCCACCTAAAAACTGACAGCCCTGAATATGTTATGGTGGCAAGATTTAACTATTGAGTCTTTAAACCATTGTATGTTTGTAATATTTTTATTGGCTTAAGGGCAGTTTCTGTGTTGGAACCTAGATGATTTTCATTTCTAACGTGCAAAAGAGTTCTTCCAACTTTATTAAATATGTCAAATGTTTTCGAACTTTTCATTAAGTTACCACTATTTTCCATTAGGAAAGAGATTAAGAACTGATTCTTATATAAGGAAAGAAGATATTAGCATAAATGGTAACAAGATTGTGGCCAAATTCTCCTTTGAGCTAAGGCAGGAGAATTGTGTAAAGTAAGATTTAAGATGAATTTTAAAGGATTTTGGTCAAGCACATTTGACTTAAATGTCCAAAGCCAAGTGGTAGCTTATCCTCTTAGGTTTGATTGTTTTCCGAGTTAATATTTGGTGTTGGTCTTCTGTAAGGGAGAGAAGAAAGATAGCTGTTTTTATTGGAGCTCCTTAGTGAACTACATAATCAGTGGTGGCTTTAGTGTGATTATTTTTTTCCCCCAGGGAAGCAGCAATATCACCTTGCAATCTATCTTTCTAGGAAAGATCCTGTGATTTCACAAAGTTTTCTTTAGGATGCTCTTTAATCAAATATAAGTGGATTTAAATACTGTTCCTCTTTAGGCACTCTGCACCATCTACAACTTCTCTGCAACTCCACCTAGATTTATCTTAACCCTATTGTCAGTATTCTTTTAAACAGGTAATCCAAACCTAACAGGAATCCACACATGGATTTTTTGGGTGAGGTCGCAGATTGCCACTGTGGTTAAGGGTTGGTTTTGGTTTGGGCCACATTTTAGTACTGGGTTCTTTTAACTTCAGCCTTTGAGGTATGTTGATGGGTACAGCCCTCTCCTGTTCTAAAATTCCCAGTTACTAAAGCCTCAGGTGCCTCTTACTGCAAAGTTCACAAGTTTCTAGATTTACATTCAAGGCAGCTTTGAGAAATCAGTCAGATCTAGATAATTAGTTTATTTCAGGTTCTGAAATAAAGGGGTGGGGAGGTAATAAACATTACTACTTTTCAACAGTACTGTACGAGGTAATTGGCTTCCTTGATTGTCCACCAGTGTATTTTTACTGACTTGTTAGCTCTGACTTTTTAAAAATATTTAATATCTTTTAGGAGTATAATTTTATCATATGGTGGTTTGTATGGAAGCCAGGCTGAGAAAAGTGGCATTTGTTGTTCTGTCATTACTCTGGTTTGACAGGGTGTTGATTTAGTGTTGGGAAAAGCTGGTCACATGGTTCTTTATGTATTGTCACTATCCTATGTAAGTAGGTTTTTTTTTTTTTTTTTTTGCCTGCTGCATATTTTGTTCAAATGAAACAGGGCTTTCCCCCTTCTCCTCTTCTTGTGAAGTAATTTTCAGCTCTCCCAAAACTTTGTGTAGCTCATCTCATCACTAGGAGAACTTACTAGGGAAGGAAGCTTTAAGGAGGTTCGGTTCAATAATCATCTCTGCAACTTGAGCCTTGACGCTTTGGGGCTAAGTGCACAGTTGGCAATTCTCGAAAGACCTCTTCGTGAAATTTTGACCCAGTGATAGCTAACAGGATGGACCCAACCAGCCAAGATAGGAAACTAGGTCCTCGCACCAAAGAGGC